AGATGCCAATTTAAAAAAAAAAATGATGAAAATGTTCTACTAACTCAGACTCATTCATGAATCCTTGACCTAGACAATGAAACATTTCCTATATGATCTCAATACTCTGCCATTTGGCGATCCTGAGATCTGTCCATATTAGTGGGCTTATTTTTACACTGACTGTACATATCCACAATTCACCTCTCCTCTGCACAGATACTGCTTTCTCTTCGCCTTTAGCCCCACGTGGGGTTGCATTTAGCGGTATTTTCTCCTACTCCTTATACTCCTTTCCTTCCTCCTGTCACTCTTCCTTCTTTCCAGATCTGAGATTAATTCTAAAAGTAAATATCCATGTCCAAAGTCCTAGCTACGTTTCTAGTTTAAAAATAAAAATCTACAGGTCACAAATTTGGTCATATCTGTAATCCACAGGATTCATTCATGTTAATAAACACCACTTTCCTTTATCGGATACATATATTAAATGTCATCACAACAATCCAAAAAGGTACATGGTATTCTTATCCCCACTCTACAGGTGACAAAAATGAAATTGGTTTAGAAAGGCTAAGAAATTTGCTGTAGACCTCACAGCTAGGAAGTCGAAGAACTGCCATAGGTTGCCAGAGCCCTTAATTTAACCATTATGCTATTCTGCCTCCCAACAGATACAGCACATGGCATTAAAGGGATGTCTGATCCCAGTGCTTCATTAACATTCCTCCTACTAAAGGGAACATCATGATTTTATCTCCTCTTAACGTATGACTTACAAGGTTGTTTAAGTCCTTTAAAATATTAAATATTTAATTAGCCCTATTACAGCATTTCCCTGAGGCAAATAGTTAGCCTGTATAATTGTTATGTTGGTTAAAAAGAAGAGCAAAAGGAAGCTTGAGCATAAATTAACAATAATAAAACAGATCATTACATTTCATGCCCCGAGATTAACATGGATAACTTGCTTCCAGTAAAACTGTAAGGTGATTATTAAGATCAGTCTTTACAGATGACCTTAGTCATTACACTTTAACTGGGTCTCCGTGCAGCCAAAATGACCGGTTAATCCATTAAATATAAGGTTACCATTCTCATCCATTATTTCTCAAAGTTTAAAATCCACCAAAGATTCATGCATCTGAATCACCTGAGGGTTTTGTTTAAAATAGATTTTGGTGCTCACATGAATTATTTTTTATGCATTTTTAGCAAGCACTTCCAAGTGATTCTGGAGTAAAATATCAACCAGTTTTTTTACGGCGGTGTCCTTATTCATAACATAAATGTATAAAGCATTATTTCTACTTAAAGAATCGTTAAGAGCGTTTTATTCCCTTACCCGCCAGAAATACTGTGAGACCATGGTTTATACAATAATTATTCCACTGTTTAACAAAGAAACAAATCAAACTGGGCCTCAAAACTATTTAATGTTGAATGACCTTCGATATGGTTGACTGGATTTTTGTTTTAAGAAATCTGCTTTCTCAAAAATATGTATATTACCATGTAGCCATAGTCTTTAATAGTCATCATAATAATTCCAGTAAAGATACTTGAGATTTGCTTCTTTTGTTCGTTTAAGACTAACCTATATGCTCCCCCCAAAATGGTCTCCTCTATTATCTAATTAAAAGAGGTTTGCAACAGTGAGAGTTTGTAAAAAGAGAAAAATGCTTTTCACAATGGGATGTCATCATTCCTGCCAACATGCCTGTTATTCTAAGCCTCCTCGAACTAATGGCAGAACATTTTATTACTTTACACATTCATCTGAAAGTTCAAATGTACTGAGATCTAGCACTTGTCAAGAAGCCCACTTCAAATACAACTAGCACAAGAGAGAGGCCCAGTCCAAGGGACATATTGAATTGCATATTTAGATAAGGCTCTCAAGCTCTTGTCACTGTATTGTTGTTTGATCATCAGGGAACAATACACCACCATCATATTATTTTCATTCCCCCAAAAAAACAAATCACTTCATAAAATCTAAAATTCATGACCTTAGTACTTATTGGAGACTAACATAAGAAAGGTATATTTTTTAATGCTTTTCATTTTCTTTTGCAAACATATGACATTGTATTAGATTGTCAGAAAAGGCATGGCTTATTTTTTCTGTTTTTTGTTGCAAAAAATGCGTCATGACTTCTCCGACAATCCAATGTATTATGTGACCTTATAAACTTTTATACAAGGAGACACCTAATATATTCCTTTTGGTATTTAATAGCAGGAAAATGTGTTTCTCTCTAGATGAACATGAATGAGTCTATTCATCCTACTTGGAGAACTCCACAGCCTCTTTACATTCCCCTGTTTAACTTGACTGCCCAAAAGTCAACAATTAAAATCTGTTTTCAACTTCAAAACAACTAATTCACTTCATATGCATTATATAAGTACGTTTCACCTTCTTAAACTTGTTTCTATAATTTTTCTTATTACTTTGTCTGTTTTAAGTGGGTTTTATCACTGGAAGTTACTTCAAAGCTTTGAAGAACTAGACAAAGAAAAAGTCAAATTTTTTAAAGAATTAAACAAGCAAAGGTGATCCTGGAGGGGAATGTAACAAAGATTACCTGGATACATGGAAAAATCAAGAAATTAGAACAGAATCAATTTTTCTTATTTTATAACCACAAGACTATTTTAACTAACAATAATACCACCAAAACAGGTCACTAAAAAATGTCACAGAAGCCAGCATGACACATAACCCTTGTTAAGACTAGCTCAAAGCTGGATGTGGAAGCATAATAGTTGAAGGATAATGAAATATAATCTAACTTATAATTAGGTAAAAATCATAAAGGCCCAGAGATAAAAAGCATCTCAAATAGAATTGCTTCAGTGTCTTATATTTAAGTGCCGGAAACTACTTTTTAAGAACCATACAACCCTTCTCAAATTTTAACGTAGATACAAGTCATCCAATTACCTTAAAATGCAGATTCAGATCCCACACACAGTCTGGGGTCCCAGGATTCTACATTTTAATACACTCTCAGGAGACACTGAGGTGGCTAGTCCCAGTGTTACCAGCCAACTGAGCAGCACCCCCACCACTGAGAAACTTTTAAGTGTTCTCTGTGTTAAGTATAGAAATGTTAAGTCTCCTCCCTAGTTTCTTAGTTTCTTTGCCCCCGGCTTTGATTACTGTTCTCATCAGTCTGTGAATCCTAGGCTAAAGATTGCTCCTAGCCTGAATCCTAGAATTCTCCTATCTCTCTGCTTCTTGATTGCTTTGTAAATCAGTTTCTGAATCCTAAACAATAGAAGTCTCCTACCCTTGCTTAAGATAACTACTTGAAAGCCTCTGACTTCCTAATATCCTCCAGGCCAGTAAGCTAAATGCCAAACCCATTCTGGGCCCAGACAATTGACGCCACCTGAGTGACAGGCTGAATGGCCACAGGCTTCATGAGAGCTAACAGATTTATTAATGAAAATCTATTTTTTCCTCATTCAGGGACCTTGGGGATACAGAGGATACCCCAACAAGATTGCCAGTCACAACCAAAGAAGCCAACACGGTCTTCCAAGCGGAGCTCGAGACCTCTTCCTCTCATCTGAGATCAGCTAGGGCGAGAGTTCTGTGAATCCCCCAATAGGCAGGGACAGCTCTACGCCCCTGCCGAGCAGGAAGCAGATACAGAAGAGACCTCCTGTCCCTCAACTTCCCATAGAGATTTCATGGGGATCATGTCTCTCAAGGGGAAAACAAGGCAGGCAGTTAGAGGCAGGCATTGGGTCTCTGCATTCCTGCAGATTTAAATAGAAAAAAATATGCAAGATGAAAATCTAGATTCTATCAAATTTTACATGTTAAAGGCAGATGTGTGTGTAAGTGAAGTTACATTTACAAAAGTTAGAAGTTTCACGTCCCCTGTACTGATTACTATATATCCAAAACCTGGAATATTCTCCAATTTTCTTATCTAATAACTAAGAATCTCTATGTAAGATAAAATGATCATGTCCTGGAGAGTAACTGAGAAAAATGGGCTTTATATTTAAAAGAAAAGATAGGCAGCAAAAGATAGAAATTAAACAGAATTCTCAAACCCATGGCTACTTTACGTGACTCTTGAAGTCAAGTTCTCATCTTTGCATTCTTTTTTTTTTTGAACGTAGAAAACCAGCACACAACAGGGCTTATGAACGTAAACTCTTTGTGGAACCAGGCAAGGTGTAAATCGCTAAATAAATGAATGGAACTTCCAAAACTGCACAGAACCATATTAATAACCTAGGCAGTTTAATTAAGAAATTTGTTGATAATGACAATAAAACTTACCCAAAAAGCTTTCTGATAACCAACGTTTGCTGGCTTTTCAACTGAATTTTGACATCAGGTTATATTCAGGGTCCAAGAAAAACATTTTTTTCCTGCTTTGAAAAATCAAACCCTGGCCTAAAGTAGGCAGAAGCCTTAGAACAGTTTCATTCTAACAAGCAGAAATGGTGATATTTTGCTACATCTAAACTATGATGAAATCCAAAAACTGCATAGCCAGAAGTAAAACCCTCAAGGGACTAATAACACTTTAACATTTCCAGTTCACATGCATATGAATGTTAATTTCACCCTCTGAAGAGAATAGCCAAAATGGCATTCATTAAGATTAAAGCCATATTACTATAGAAACGGGAAATTTATATGTATGCTTCCTATAAAATGCAAATATTGCCAAAGAATGGGTCTCTACTGAGTTCTCCCTGTACCTACTTCTTTGCCAAGTTAAATCACACTGGTGAAGCACTTTTACAAAGGCCATATAAAATGTGTAAGTAGCAGGACTTGCTGCTCTGCTGCCCAGATGCCCCGCAGGCTGTTGACAATTGTGTGCACCCCTGATGAATGCCCACTCCTGGCACAAGCGCAAGCCTCTCGTAATGGAGGCAGACAGGGGACATTTCCGAATGTCAGAGTCTGCAAAAGTGAAAGAGGCGCCTGCAAAACACAAATTCTGATTGGGGTTGTCTCGCCCTTGAATCAAATGTCTTACCTGGTTAAGTCCTGCGAAGACTGCCATCTGCAATGGCTTTATTCCACGACTAAAGGAAAAGAAAAACAAAAGAAAGGATGAATAAAAACCTAGCAAATGATACAGCTCTATTTTTTTTTTCACACAGGCAATATTTTATCACAAGATATTGGTTAACTACAATATTCAAATGAATGACTAATTACTGGGGATGCACAGTCTAAGGGAATGAAAAGGAAAGATGGGGAAGAATATAGATTTGAGGAGGGAGTAAAGCAGGAGAAAAAAGTGAAGAGTAGCAGCAGGAGCTAAAAGTTATCCAGTGCTTTATATATACTAGCTCATAAAATCCTCCTAAGCATTCCATAACATAAGTAAACTTTGCATCATCCCAATCTTACACATGAGGAAACTGGAGCACAAGGTGTTTAAGGCGCTTCCCTGGAGCCCCACAATGCAACCGGATTCCAGTCTGTCTGGCTGAGGCTGCTCTTTCACACTGTACTCTACTTCTCCTTGTTCACTGTACTATTGCTGGGTACTTGTCATCTGTCAGCGCTCAATAAATACATGGGAAATGAATGAGCTATTTGACAACCCCTGGTGGCCACCAGCTACTAGACGTAATGTCCTTGAGGGGAGGAACTGTCTCATTCATCTTGTCCTAATCCCCAGCACCTAGCACAAGGCCAGTCACACACAGTAGATGCTCCAAAGTTGTTTGATGAATGGATGAAAAAGTGAATAAATACAGATTCAAATAGCTATAGGTAATATGAACCATAAAGACAGAATCTCATGGTAAAATGGGGAAGAGTGGGTATAGTTCTATACCCTCTCACAGTTCCACGTGGTGGGCTAGAGTACTGAACCCAATTGTTAATTGCATTATTCAGTTTCCTTCATCGAGTGTTAGTGGGTACAGAATAGAAATTCTTAATTCTTCTTCTTTGTAAAAGAAGAAACTCCCATTTTTGTGAAATAATAATAATAGACCCTGAAGAAGCTCCAGTTTTAAAAGCATAATATGATCATCACTGCCAAAATAAAAACAACGAAGGAAATATCCAATTCAGTACACAAGCAGTGCTTCTCAACCCTGTCCAGTAAAGTAACCTTGGTAGCAAAGAAAAGTAAATATTATACTTTCCTCTAGGGCATAGGTAAAAGCCCTAGAGGGCTTTTTATCTTAAAAATTCATCCATTTTTTTGTATTCTGAGATATGTTCACTTTTCTTTTTTCACAAATATAATGTTTGATTATTTACCATTATGCAAAATGTAAAGGCTGCCATCTTTATTCTTGAGCATTCAATACCCTGTAGAATGTGTTAGCCCATTTGAGAAGCCAGGGACCATTGCTTCTGATAAAGACTTTCATTTAGAAGCCCAAACATTTAGAAGCAAACTACAAATACATTAGGTAGATGTAAATACAGACCCAAAACGAATATAATGGAAATGCTCCAAGGGTAATTTGGTGTGAGAAATGGCATCTGTGTCCCTAGCAAATACCATCTTAATAACCATCCTAAAGAACCACACAGAAAGGTAAACAAATACTAAAGCTAGTTAGGATAGATATCGCTCATGCTCAACAATACATCTGCTTCTCCTATGCAACATGGGAAGATTAAATTTCCTCAAGTCTCTAAATCTGGCATGGCCATGTAATTTGCTGGGCCAATGAAATGTTACTGGAAGTCACCTATGTCAATTCCAGGTGAAAGCACAGAGTTAACATGCAATTTCCCATGTTCTCTGTTCCCTTCCACATGACTAACAAGGCTGTATGTGCCACATAATGCGCCTCCAAGATCATGGCACCTTCCTCAGCCTGGAAAGCTGAGTTGTCACAGAGACAAATGTCTGGGAGAGTCACTCAGATGCCCAGTGGGCTCCAAAGAAGAAATAAGTCTTTGTTGGGTTTAAGCCACTGAAATGCTGTTACTGCAGTATAATCTGGCTGATACTCTCCCAAATGTTACATTGAAATTTAAATAGACCAAGCTCCATAAACATTAAATAGCCCTACCTTATTTCTGTTTTATTAGTCCAGGGCTATAAAGCAAAAATCTACAAGCAAAATGGTTATGTGTATTCTCTGCCCAACAGTTTTGGCTAAATTGACTTATAAACTGCTCCCTAAGAAACAATCTGTCAAATCTGGGGTATTTAGAAGTGTATGAACAAGCCGTCAGGTGGCACTTTTAAAACCACTTCCATTGGTTGTAAAAGGAAAAACCTACAACACACTTCAAAGTTCTCTACTGACACAGACAACATGGGTGAATATACTACATGAAATACTCATTTCTACTTATCAGTAAATCATACTACAAAGTAAATACAAACCACCCCAAAAAGTTTTCATTAACAGTAAATTTTATGAATTTTCAAAATTCTTATGTCCTATTACTTAACAGCACAATCCACTTCAGAAGTTACATGAACTTACTTTTTTTACAAGGCTCCATACATCTATACTAGGGTTCCTTAACCTTGGCACTACTAATATTTCAGACTGGATGATTTTTGTTGAGGGGGTTTTCATATGCATTATTGGATGTTTAGCAGCAACCTGGCCTTTGCACAATAGATGCTTATAATACCTTCCCAGTAACGACAACCAAAAAATGCCTCCAAACATTTACAAATGTCTCTTGGGGGGCAAAATCACCCCTCACTGAGAACCACTAATCTGCTCCAAAGTTTCACAAAGAATAAAATGTGAATTCCATCCTGTAGCCCCATTGTTGCCTTCCCGAAGTGATCTAACAATAGTACATAAAGGTGATATGACAGGATTTTACATTCATCATACATAAAGGAAACATATGAATTATTAAAAATTGGAAAATAAAAATTTGCAAAAATAAAATAATTACTTATAACCTCATCTCTATTAGCATGTTTACAGACAGGTCTCTCTGGATCTATTCAGTCAACAATTACTAAATAACTCTTCTGTGTTAGGCACTATACTAGATATCAGAGCTAAGACAAGGACCATCAGCCCCCATCCCCAAAGTGAGCCAGATTGAGTGGGGGAAAGAGGGTCCTGGCAGAGGGGGCTGCGCTGCACTATTTTCCTAGGCAAGGAGGAGTGACCTTCCAGTCATCAAAGAGAGAATACCGAAATCCACCTCATTATAAATTTATGGTAGTTTCCTAGTTAAATACAACCTCCTTAAACCCTTTCTTGGGAAAAGATGGGATATAAATTATTTATAAATTAATTAATTATGATGGGAATTAAGCAACAGAATAGTCTAAAACTAAAATTGAAAAGAGAGGTGGAAAGTTCCAAAAGGCTGAATTCACAACAGCAACTTGCTCAAATACGTATTTTTGATTAACCAGGAGGTTTGACAGAATTTCTAAGCTAATAAATATGTTCTCAGCTGAAATAAATGCTCTATTTAGCTCTTTATAGGTTGTGTGTTTGCAATAAGCCAAAGTGAACTGGCCTAACTAAAATATTTCTAATAACTTAAATGATTTAAATCATATACCAGCTATAATAACAGTTACTCATATAAATCTAAAAATATTTCACTATGATAAAAGAATTTCAGTATTGAATATGTTCTTATTGCTGCTTTTGTTTGAGGTACTGTTTGTTTGATGTCTGCATGATTGTATTATATATAAATTCTAAATGTTACTAAAGAGAATAATAAAAGTAACCACTTTGATTTTTAACTCACTTCTATAAGAATGATACATATATGTGTATCAGAATTTATGATATATGTGTGTGTGTGTGTGTATATATATATATATATATATACACATATATAAATAATTATCTGTTGGTTAGAATACTAGGCTAATAAAACTATGTTTATGGATTTGATCCACATGTCATTTTGTTCTGTGGACATAGCTGCTTTGGACACCTCAAAATAATCCATTATCAGATTTGGAAAATATTGGGTTGTTGGAAAAGTCATGACGCATTTTTGCAACGAAAAACATAGAAAAAATACGTCATGACTTTTCCAACAACCCAATAACTCAAAGGCATTGAGGACCACTAATTCCATTTTTGTATATGAAACACCTTATTACACACCAAAATCTCAGAGATAGGTGCTCTAATTGCATTTTCTAGATAATTGAGACTTATCTAGAGGCTTAGCAACTCATCCCTATAGTTGAAAACATGCACAAAATATACTGGTAGATGTGCTTGCCTAAGTAAATTATATTTTAATCGTTGCATGAGGATGGGTGATACAAAGGGTGATCATATGGAAATTAAAAATAATTTTACAGTATTGCAAATGGAAGTGACAGAAGACCACAAGATTGAGTTGAATGTGCACTCATCTCAGGGCATAGCTTTTGAAAAAAATGCCAGTGTGGGTTCATTCTATTATCACTTGTTTTATTATGAAAAAAGTGAATTGTAAAAGAAAATGTGCTTGAGTCTTATTATTGCATGATGAATAACTGAGAGAAATCAAAATAATTTGTTTGATAGTTTAATGCCCATGATATTTTTAGTTTACGTTAATGTGGAAAAATAATCTTCCTTTTCTATACTACTAGTAAATATTCTCAGCTATTTTGAAAATGATACTTGTGTACAGTTGCTTTATCAGTCAATTAAGAACAAGCACTATATTGGGTTAAGAAGCTTGTATTTTTAAACTACCTCACATATGCTGCTGAAACTTGAGTCTTGTTGGAATTTTTGATACAATTCTCTCTTGCTTTTATCCTTCTTCTTGTCTCTTTTAGTTTTTTTGTTTTTTGGGGTTCTTTTTGGTAAGGAAAACATGCTAAATAATTTTGTTGAAACTCAAAAAAAGATGTTGGTTCTCTTTTTATATTGTATGCTGTAACTATTCCCTACCTACATTTTACAGAAGGGACTGTAACTCAAAGGGCAGTGGCATGTTTATCATTCCACCCTTAGTTCATGAAGCAGAGCGTAGGCACTAGTATACTCATTAGCCTAGCAATTCTCAGGCAGCATCAGAGCCGCCTGAGAACTTGATAGAAATACACATTCTCAGGCCCCATCCCAAAACTACTAATTCAGGAACTCTAAGGATAGTATCCAGCAGGGTGTAGCCAAGCCCTCCGGGTGATTCTGAAGTACACTCAAGCTTGAGAACTACTGCTTTAGGCTAAAGAATATTTTGAAAGGTAAGGGGACTTGCCCCAAGTTTCTCTTAAGTTAGGAGCTACATCAAGACAGGCTTTCCCCATTGTCAACATCCCATTTCTCCAGACTAACTCCCTGATTGACACTTTTTGGTAATGCCAGCTCTGACCTGCCATCAATGAATGGTCAGTGTGATTCCATCTAGTTTCCTCTAAATTCATAGGGAAAGGACACCTGGGTATTATCCAAAGCACACTATCTTATGATATGAATTTCCCAAATAACTCTGTGAGAATTCGGTCATTCTCCTTGGCCATATTCCCTCTGTCGCTGTGGATGCCTCTGCTAGAACCACAAAATGAAGTTGAGTGTTGCTGCCGTTATTTCCAATTAGTGAAACTTGACTTGAGTTTCCTAGTTTTGAGGCAGGACAGGTAGCCTAGGAAATGACAGCCCCTTCCAGGGTACAACATGAGGTGCCTTACTGGTTACACAAGTAACACGTGACTGTATCTGGCACCTGTAGCTGGAGAAGAACAAGAACCAGTTTCATCCAGCGGGGCTAATCCCCTTGACAGAGACCTGCCCTTTAGCTAACTATAATGTCACTGTTATCTCATTTATACTGAGGTTACTACACTCCATCATTCATCTGATGCCGTGACAGTTCCAGAGGAGCCAAATAAGGAAGAAAGAGCAGGAAACAGAGTGTCCTGCCCAGGGGGAGGAGATGAATGAACCACATCAATGGGATGTCACCAATTCCCACCCCTGGAGAAATAAAACCCCCTCTGATCATGACTCCCTTGGCGCAACTCATTCTCTGAGTTCACTCACACTTTCAAGTGTGTACTTGCATTTTCAAAAAATTGCTTTCACTTTCCTGCATCTGTCTGTCTTTCTTGTGCAGAGACAACAGCCCAATCACTGCTGCTCTGCGTTGAGTCCTGCCTTGGACATCCCCGTGAGCCTTCGGTGACAGTTTGACCAGATTTTTCAATATTGCAAAATCATATGTGTATTATTCTCAGAAAGAAATATTAGTACTTCACATTGCTTCGTGAAAATAATATTGTCATTACTAGAGGAATAAAATTTTATCAATAAATCTCAATGTTCTTTAAATAACCAAACTGAGGGGGCTAGCCAAGTGGCTCAGTTGGTTAAGAGTTCGCTCAAGATTGTGAGCTCTGAACAACAGCAGTTCGAGTCCCGCCCGAGCTGAGCTGCCGCTGAGCTGCCAACAGGTGGCAGGTTGGCTCAGCTAAAAAAAAAAACCCAATAAACAAAATTCTGATTTTCCTCATAAAACTGAGAAAGCACATAAGGCTCTTTGTATAAACTTACCTGGAAATTGAATCAGAGATTTTTTGACAGGTTGCCATTTCAACAAATTACAAATACTCAGAGTTATAAAGCCAACCAGCTAAATGGTTTGCTTTCTTTTTTAAAAAAAGATTTTATTGGGGGACTGGGAACAGTGTTGGGGAATCGGAACAGAAAGGTAGACAAATTGCTGTTTTGTTCTTCAGTCTAGTTGTGGAGGACGTCGCTTTACTGGCCCACGTTGGTTTGGTCATTGTGCTCTTCCCGGGTGAGGCAATCAGTTGCCCGTCATTGGTCCGCGGCTCTCGGCAGCTCACACCTGCTGCTGGCCACTCACCTGGCTGCCAGCCACTCGCGTAGCTAATGGCAGTCCACTGCAGTTCTGCTGCACCCCACGCCATAGCCAGAAACTCACAGCAGCCCAGCTCCAGGTCGAGCTGTTGTTCATCATCTTAGCTGTAGAGGGCAGGTGTCAGTGGCCCTCAATGTGGGATCCGAACCACAGCCCTGCTGCTCAGAGCTGGCGCTCCCAAGCGAGCTCTTAACCAGCTGAGCCACTTGGCCGGCCCATGGTTTGCTTTCTTAACTTGCTCTCCTCTTGATAGCTGGAGGGAAGGGTGGGTTAGAGAAGGAGGTAAAAAGACAGGAGTCCAGGCACATGGAGAAGGAGAGACAAGAAGTCAGATGGGTTCAGGAACTGGGAGATTTATTAATGGTGTACGGTTAATTATGAGGAGAGGGGATCATCCAATCTATAAGGCCAGGAGTAGGCAGGTACTTATCATGAAGGATTGCTATCCTAAAAAAAATTTAATTAATTCAATCCTCCCCGACGTACACTCACATACAAATGTAAGCTTGAGATGTAAGGGGACACCAACCCTCTGTCAAACACAACCAGACTGTGAAACCTAGTTTAGACTCAACAGGAGAAAAACTCCCTACACGGTAACACACAAGCTACCCAATTAGCATACGGCCTTATAACTGAGTCGGGAAAGGGGTCTGTCCCACCCGCCGTACCCACACTGCGGCCTGTGCTCCTGAGCCTCCCTCACTCCCGATCTAGCCAGCTCTCCACGTGGTCTCCTGGAATTGCCCATATCCGCCAAGCCAAGCACAGATGTTCTTATTACTTCAAGTGCAACTTGAAAAGTACCGTGATTGGGCCGGCCGAGTGGCGCAATGGTTAAGAACTGGCTTGGGACGCCAGAGGGCCCCGGTTCGGATCCCACATGTGAGGGCCAGTGACACTGCCCTCCACAGCTAAGATGCTGAACAACAGCTCAACCTGGAGCTGGGCTGCCCTGAGTCTCCGGCGATGGCGTAGGCTGCAGCCCCTGTGGCAGTGGGTTGCCATGGGCTACCGTGTGTAGCCAGCAGCCAGCGTGAGCGGCCAGCAGCCGCAGTGAGCGGCTGTCCAGAAGCCGGCGACTGATGTGCCTCGCCCCGGAAGAGCGCAATGATGCTGCCAACTTGGGCCAGTGAAGCAACGTCCTCCACAACTAGACTGAAGAACAAAACGACAGCAACTTGTCTGTTTCCCTTCCCCCAATTCCCCAGCACTGTTCCCCTTCCCCCAATTTCCCAATAAAAATCTTAAAAAAAAAAAAGTACCATGATTACTGCAAAGAAAAGAACCTTCAGTGGGCACCATTTTAAAAAATATATTTCCTTTCAATTGTCTCCACTCAAGATCATGCCCTGCATTTCTCCATATTTTCCATCTTTTCATTACCAGTTAGTTGTTTGGAGGTTCCACAGGTGAGGATGGGGTTAGTTTCACCACGTTATTGCTCTTCTACTCTGGTTTTGGAGTACTATTTGGGCAGCACTCATGGTTGGTTGACAAGGCATGGTTACCAAGGTATTATCACCAGACAGCATTAAAAAACAACAACAACAAAAACCCCAGCAGGTAGAGCCCAGTCAACAACAGTCAGATTACTCTTTCCTGGACACACAATGGTTTGTTTGTTTGTTTAAGCAGCCATTCTGCAGGGGAACATTAAAGATAAGTAGTCTGCTTGTTTGTTTATGGCTTACCTCACTATATATTGCGCTGTTGGAAAAGTCATGACCTATTTTTTCTATGTGTTTCGTTGCAGAAATGCATCATGACTTTTCCAACAGCGCAATACTTTTCAGCAGGGAAAGTTCCTGATCTTTCAGTAGTTAGCCTCTGGTATGGAAGGAACTGTGCCTTCTCCCCCATATTGTTCCTGGCCTCTCTGAGCATTCCATCGAGGTCAGAGGGGAATTTTGCAGTCCTCAAAGTTAGTTGTTCCGCCTTTCAACTATTTTATCTACTCTCCCATGAACTCATGTACAGAAATCCCACTTCAGTAAAGCCTCAACCAGGGAGAATAAAAATAATGAACACAGCCGGCCCCTGGCAGCTGATACTAATAGCTGGGTTTATGCAAAACTAATTTCTAAAATTGAAACTGGTTTATTGTGTGAGTTGTGGTATTATATAATGTAATATTCAGCTGTACTGTTCAATAAGAATTATTCCTATTCTTGGCAAGAAAAAAAGTTTTATAATTAAATTATGTAATTTTCATGCCTTTCAAATTTCTGGTGTGCCAATGTTGCAGAAAGCCCATTTTAAAATATAAATAAATGAGAGAATGTTACATTCTGTCCAAGCAGATATTCCATAGCAATCTGAACTCCATTTCTTTTTCTCCTTTTTAAAGCTTATGTCTTTTAAACATACACGTGATTGCTCCTGCCTTCTTATAACATCTGAATTCTAAGTTCTAAGCAGCAATCAAAGCTGCAGGAGCTGACCTACTGCAATTTTACTGCCGTGGCAAAATCAGCCCCTTTATTCTAAGCTACACATTTTCAAAGACAGTCTCAGCAGTATGCTTTTTTATTACTCCAGTTTATACAACTTTTCCTTAGGTCCTTAGCTCATCCATATATCTGAGGCTTCCTAAATGCAGTGAGCTGTCAAGTAATAGCATTATTTTATGTTTCATCACTAAAGTCTGAGAACAGCACAGGCTACAAGAAATAAATTGGGGTCACAGAGACATGCTGGGCATGTATCCTCCATGATATTCATTCACAAGTTATGGAAATGTAGGAGCTGATACTTGTACATATGAAAGTACATCCATTTAAAAGGTGGGGGGAAAGAGTTCAACTCGTCGCTGAACTAGAGCTCGTGAGTGAAGGGCAAGAGACCCTCATGGATGCTGCAGGCTGGAAGCTCACACGGTGACACAGCTGACATTAATAGTGAGCAATTTCTAAGCAAGGCCTCCACAGGGAATGATTCAAAAGAGGGTATCAGGCTGCATGCATTCTTTTACTTCCTGCCAGAAAACTGAGGCCTGATAAATTCACTGAGACATCCAATGAGAACATGACTGGGATCTCCCAGTTGTGAAAAACCCAAGATGGCCATGGGGAAGGGATGAGAAGGAGGCTTCTTACCTGGGGTGACAATGGAGAAAATAAAGTGGAATAAGCATTGCTAGGAGAGTCGCTTTATATAGAGAGTCAGGAGGGTATTAGGGAAGTGGGGCCTATGTACATCTTCTACCTCAGTTCTCAGAACTGCTATTAAACTGCTACACCTGTTGCTAAACTCAGTTCAAGGCTGACTTATCCTGGAACAACAACTGCTATGTGGACACAAATGGACTTTACCTCCTGGTAGTTTTCACCACCCTTGTTTGCTTATGGGAACCAATCAATCACTGTTAGCCTAGCCAGCAATTCTTTATTTGCATAAAGAATTATGCTTTGTGGCTTTGACTTTTTAAACCCTCCAGAGCACAATTTAAATTGATACCTCAATCCGTGTCTCCTAGGTTGAAACTATTTTGCTCCAATAAATGCTTTCTGTTCTTTATTACAGCCTAGGCCTCTTCTTTGGTTAACAGGGGTTATAGGACTGGACGACATTTATAGTTTAGTCCTCAAGTAACGATGCTGATAGGTTCTGTGACTTTGAGTGAAATGATATATAACAAAACTAGTATTACCATAGACTCATTGTAATAAGGAAGAATTAGGTTGCTACAGTATCTCGTCAACATTAAAATGAAGCCACGATTATTCGAGGACCTGCTGCAATCAGGTCAGACACAAAGACTTTTTTTCCAAAAAAAATGTCATGGCTTGGAATAATTATGTTTTTATTTTCTGTGTTCCTATGGCTCCTGGAGCTATCAAACCAACATAATTTCTATATATTTTGTGAGACTCATGCATTTCTTTCTTTGTCCTTAACTAAGCATTCATGTAAAAGCATCACTTGAGTAGAACCCTGGAAGTACAAGCATAATCCCACTACATGGAGTCTGGAGAAGAGAAGTTTATGGAGAAACTTCCTTTAGCCCCTAACACCAAATAGCCCCTCACCTCCCACATGTAGAACTCTCCTGTAATTTGTGACTCTGGAGACACCAAGAAGAGTTTCAAGGAAAAGGAGTTACTCTCAGACAGACAAGATAAAGATCCATTCGACTCAGTAGTGTGAGAGCTAAGCTATCCACTAGAGCAAGTAACTCAACGTGTCGTAATTTTCAAGGCAGCTTATAAAATCCAATTTCATCTTCCAGCAACATGTAGTTGATAACGTTTGCCACCTAGATGGCCTGCAGATGAGTTTTAAGGATACAAAAGACCATGAATTTAATTTACATCTTTGTCTGAAAACAAAGAGAGCTCCTTCTAAAGAGAAAATATAACATTGAAAAGAGTACAATTTCTCAGATACAGATAAATGTTAATTAAATTAGCAAACAAAAATAAAATTATTTATCTATTTCAGTTAAAATACCTGCCTTGTCCTCAATTGTGTAGCACATATATAGCTGGTTAGGATTTTTGAGAGAGTTATTCAAATAACCGCTTCAGTTACCTATCTTGTCCTAAAGATACCTTTGCCCTAAAGACTGGGAAGAACTTTAAAAATAACAAAGCTACCCTTTAATTATGTATGGAAAAAATGTTAACTGTGAGAATCTGTTTTACTTTCAGACTTTCATTGCCATCATTAAATAGAGAAAATAATAGGGTCATTTGCCAATTACTCTTCTGCTGTATTTATTTGTATTTGTGTTCTTTGATTATCATTTCAAACCAAAATATTTTATCACCCATCCTAACTGGTAAAAGGGATAAAGGAGAGAGTTTACCTTACACTGGTGTTTTGTATTTCTCCAAAAAATGATACTGTCAGATTCCAACATGGAAGCCAAAAAAGCAGCTGAGTTAGTTTTCAGTTACATGGTAGGATTATTCTGTACATAGATTTGAATTTCAACACATTTCAGTTAAACCACTGAGAAATAAACTTCTAAGCACACATTAAGATGCTAGAACAAATACTTGTGGATTATGCTACTTCCTATAAAGGAAGACAATCCCAAATTAACTTTCAATAGCTATGTATTGATTGAGCACATACTCTGCATGACAGTTTAACAGACTAAATCCTAACATTTATTTCTAATGTAAAAACCATTCTGGAGGAGGGAAATCAGTGACCAGTAATCTCTGCACAAATATAAAACTAAACAGACTTAGCACTTATTAGTCCCATGACCTTTCTTCAACTAGCCGACTTTCAGCATTTCATAAAAGTATCTCACCTCTCTTAAATACCATGATGCTTTAGCTAAATCATGTTGTCACTGAAATGAAAACTTTATAAACAAACAATGCTGTTTTTCATATTACAAAATTAAGATCTTTATTCCGTATTTGCAGTAGCAGGTATGTATATCTTTGCAACTGAGAAAAAAAACTGAGCAGAACAAATAAATTTTCAAAGTTGACAAATTAAGTGCTACATCTGTCCGGACATGGAAACAAATTGCTGAAAACAGTGTTATTTTACGAAACCGCATGACTCATTTTGCAATGTCTGCACTAAGGGAGGAAAGGGAAGAAGGGATGTATTAATTATATGTAATGAATGACTTGACACTTCTGGGTGTTAAGATGAAGACGAAGTTTTGAAAGGTTTTCCTGGGGGGTTGCTTCATGCTCCAGGTGAATATACTTCTTCATATTCTTACATTGTAAAGACTTTTAATAAAGATGACAGAAATATATTATAAATTTTGGCACATAGGAAAAGACACACGTGCCCATGTGCCTCTCTCTCTCTCTCTCTCTCTCTCTCTCTCTCTATATATATATATATATATATATATATATTACATGTAATACCTATATTACATTCAATTGCTCTCAAAATCCGAAGAGTCAACCTCTGGTTTCTGCAAGAAAGTTGGATTGTCCCCATTTATTCATGTTCTAGATGGTAGCTTGCATCCTGTTAATGTTTAATATTTCATTCAAAATAACATGAATAACACACTGCAATCATATTGCTGTAGACAGTGAAATTATGATTACCTATGAGAAAAGGGATGGCAAAAAAATAATCTCACATTTGAAAATGATATTATCTCAAAAGCCTACTTCCAAACATTGTACCAAAAACGACCTTTATCTTAAGATTACACCATTATAAGACAATTAAACCTATTTATATATCTGCTGTTTCCAAGGCTATGAATTCAAACTATCCCAGATTTTGTCAATAAATTCATACCAGGTATTCATACATTATATCAGGAGACCTAAAATCTCCAAATTCTAATCCATTCCCTCCTTCTCCCTGTCAGCTGAATTTTCTTTTTTTTAAGAAAAGGATAATTTTATCTCTTTTCTTATGGTCTTGTCGCAAATATCAGGAAGTTCACATAAATATAGTTTGGGTGTTCCCAACAGAGAGAGACAGCTATTGAGAAAGAAAAAGTAGTCATTCTCAGTCATCACGTATACGACAGATTGCCCCTTACATCCCTAAAAGTAATTCCTAATAAGTACATTGTAATATACAGGGCCCAACTTTTCCCATTTTTTGCTGGCGAGGTTGTTCTGTGATGTGTAATGCTAAGATCATCTTAACATAATATATGACCTTGGGTTCTCCTCCTTTTCCTCCCCTCACCCCAGCACAGCCCCTGCACAATTAACTCATCACCAAGCACCGCAAAGAGAATGACTCCAGGAAAACTGTAAGCTAGTCATACACTATGTGTGCAGGCGTAATAGCTTCGTTGTCTCTGTCCATCTCTCTTCCATTAACATCTGAGAGCGGGGACCATGTCCTACTCTGTTTCTTATCTATAGTATGCAGCACAGTACCTGGCATGTAACAGGCACAAAATAACTGCAAATTGAATGAATGGATATAAGCCACTATGTATAGTGGTATCTACTAAAGCCTCTGTAATATCACCAGAGTTTTCAAAACCTAAATGCACAGCGATTGTTTCTGCTATGTATAACTTGCCCATGAGCACTGAGAAGCCAAAACATCTGCTTGGCACAGAGGGGCCCTACTTCAGGTCCACAAAGACCACTGGTCCTTTCTTTCACCACGGGAGGTAGAGAGGGAGAAGGCAGAGTATAGTTTAGTTTGGCAGTGCAGTGCAGAGAGGAGCAGGTGTGTAGCTAAGCACGGATGCCCCAGGGATGTGGAAGTCGGGAGGCTCCTATCCTGGAAGGTTCCCAACCCCAAACGTTCCTGCTAACTCAGCAACTTGGAGGCAGAGCAGAGAAGAGAGCCCAAATTTCCCCATTTCTTCACTCCCCTGGGCACAGAGAACAGAGTGATAAGTTAAATATTGACATTTGCAATAGATCTGCTGCTGTTTCTGGGTCAGAACCAAGAGTGTATATTTTTTACATTCATATCCAGGTAAATATATCTGCGAGTACCTAGAAAAGTACTTAAAGCTCTACCTCCTTTGTCTTCAAATATCACTATCCATGTATTTCCCAGTTAATTTATGGGTGAAAGTTCAATGAAAATGCAAAAGTTAGACCAAAATATACAAAGATGAGGACACTGAGATTTAAAAAAAGATTTGCCTCTCACCCCCTGTTGCAATTATACTGGCTTCACAGGTCATTTCTTAAGAGGCCAACAGTTACATAACTATTATACACTTCCTTTCAATTTATTACCAAAAAAATAAAATTCAAAATATCATTTTCTGTGATTTCTCTATGATTCCTTTGGTAGGTGCTTCTTTAGGGCACCAATTTTAGCTAAAATCTGGGAACATAAGGCTCTGTTCCAGGCCTCAGGGAAAACACACCTTCCCTTCTCTCTTCTTTCTGAAAAGCAGCTTGTTGACATGATTGTTTATGCTGATTTTTAAGAAAGCATCAGAATTCTACTAAGAAGCTTTCGGAGCGGCAGTGGTGCGCTTAAATGTGCCCCTGGGCTTCCTCTGTGTCAGAACTTTGTGGCCAACCCTTCCCCCATCACGTTTGATCAGGGAGAAATGAATAATTAGGCACATTTTTTCATTTAAATAGCAAGGCATAAAAAGCTGCTAGGATGCCTGGTCACTGCCTCAACTTCTCTCACATTCCCATAATGTAAATTGTTCAAGTTGAATGAACCCATTTAACTTGTTTTAGTACCTCATCAGGTTCAAATTTTGACATTTATGGGGTA